TTCAAGCCCACTTTTATCCCAAGTTCATGTTAGCCTGGGCAAACCATGATCTCTAAGTTACAGGCTGCTTTGCAAACTGATTCATCGTTGCATGCATCTCACCAGCTAGGAAATCCCTGTTGTGTAGTCACACACTCTTCAGAATACACCACCGTTTTTCCCCAACATCTTTATTTTGTGGCTGCCATTACCTCTTCCTGGGCCAGGTGTTTGTGGCTTCTGTTTTTTTTTTTGTTGTTGTTTGTTGTTTATTTCTCCTGGAGTTACGAAGAAGAAGAAAAATGGTGGGAAGAAAAATCCAGTCCAGTTCCAAGCCGGAAGGACGACTCTGGAAATAAAATGGAGGCAGGCCGCATTGAAAGGAGGTCTCTGTTGATTTAGTTTCCAGAAAGTGCAGTAACCGCAGCAATATTTAAGGAGTGGCTGACAAAACGGCTGATTAAATGGGTGGATTTTCATAGGGTTCTGGGTTGTGTTTGAGATGCTTCAGGGGGGTTGTGCAATGTAATGAGCCTTGTGTCTCTTGCTATTCTAAAGGTGGTGGGTAAATTCTCTTAGATCCTAAAGGTCCTGTCCTGTCCTTAGAGTTTGGGTGGGGGATGTAAATTCTTAATCCCATGAGTCCCATCCTGGGGGAACTGTGGTTGTAGGCCAGGCTTTCTATGGATGGATATTGAATGAAATGCTCCAGTTTTCTCCATAGATGCAAAAGTATCTCATTCATAAAATTTAACTGTTGGAGGGACCACCTGGAATGTTTTCCTGGTAGTGGAGAGAAGGGAATTATTTGATCCTAGGAAAGCCTCCTTCTCTCTGTGTGTGTGTCTGTGTCTCTCTCTCTCTCTGTGTGTGTGTGTGTATCTGCTGACTTCCTACAAATTCTAAATTATGCTTCTTAGTGACCAAGGAAACTTAATCAACTCTATTATTTGAGGGGGAAGAAAAAAATGGGAGGCCAATTTGTTGTTGTTTGTTTTGCATTGTGTTTTGTGGTTGCTGCACAAGCCGCGAAGTGCTACCCCGAACAGCAGCAGGAGGCTGATTGGCGTCAGCGCAAGCCTAGGCTTTGCAGGAGGGATCAGTTGAATGATTCACATCAACTCTTCTTTCTTTGTTTGATTTAGCACCGCAGTGCAAGCTATCCAAAACTTGATCATGTGTGTAAGGAGGAATACAAATTTGGGGATGCTGGGATATGCTTTTGAGCCTGGACACTTTGTTTGAAGCTATTTTCTACCTGGTCCAGTAAGAAATTAAAAGTCAAAAGAGCTTGGCTACAAGTGACAGTGGGTGAGAGAGGGAGGGGAGGGGAGAGGCTGAGGAAGAAGAGGCAGAGAGAGAGAGAGGGAAGGTGAGAGAGAGGAGAGTGAGACGGGTAGTCCTTGACTTACAACAATTCATTTAGTGACCATTCAAAGTTTAACCGGCACTGAAAAAAAGTGACTTGTGATTGTCTTTCACACTTACGACCGTTGCAGCATCCCCATGCTCACGGGATCAAAATCTGGACACTTGGCCACTGACTCCGATTTATGACGGTCGCAGTGTCCCAGGGTCATGTGATCCCTTTTGTGACCTTCTGCCAAACAAAGTCAATGGGGAAGACGGATTCACTTAACAACCGGGTTGCTAACTTAACTGCTGCGGCAATTCACTTAACCACGTTGGCAAGAAAAAAAATCGCAACCTGAGGCAAAACTCGCTTCATAACTGTCTTGCTTAGGACTCAATTGTGGGCCGTAAGTCGAGGACTGCCTGTAATTGGACCACTAAAGAGGTCATTGTACCTGTTTCGTTCCTGATCAGTGAGATAAGAGAAAGGGGGGGCAGAGAAAGAGGGAGCGAGGGGGGAGGAGGAGGACTGGTGTCTCTGAGCTTTGTTGTTTTCTTGTGAAGGTTTCATGACCCAACTAGGTAACGAGAAAACCACCGAGCCCAGAGAGCACCAGGGACCCCTCAGGTCAGCCCTGAGCTACAGATCTTCTCTTCTGTTGGAACGACTAAACCGGCCGTCAGACGAAGGATGTTCAGAAGTTCCGAATGCCAAAATCTGACCTTCTCTTGTTTTCCTCCCTCCAAAGCCAAAGAAATGGATGAGAAACCTAGAAACAAGAAGGGGAAGGTCGTCACTTGGCTGAGGGAAGACTTCTCCTTTTCGGGCCCAACAATATTTTATAATAACGTCTCCAAAATGGCTACGGTACGTTTTCGTTCAGCATTTTGCCTGGCTTCTTATTGACCTTCCTTTTTCTCCTCCTCTTGACCTGGAGATACTCAAAAAAGTCAATATCACAGTGGGGACGGCAGGCTCCAAAGGCCGGAGGGTGGATATCCATCCCCCACAATGTCTAGGAGCAGGCGATCTCGGCTGCCATGTTGGCTTCTTTCACCCACATCCTAATATCACGTGGTGGATGTCATGGAATACGGCCTGCCTCTCTACATGGGGTGCTGTCCCCAGATACGGGTCAAAGTCTCTGGCTTGTCAAAACCCTGATGCATCTCTTCATGGTCTCCTTTTCTTCTTTCCGATAGGCCTTTGGCGAGCATCTGAGCCCGTCTCAAATAAACGACCTGATCTTAAAAGCCCTGGCAGCTCTGACACACCTGGACAAAAACATTTCACACACTGCGGGACTCCTGCTCAATTCGTTCTTGGAAGAATGTGGGATGGACATGGAGGAGGTAAGAAAATGGCAGGGTTTGGAGCAAAAGGGATAGAGGAGATTTTGTAGAAAAGAAAGATGAGAATGGGTGAGACCTTGTTGACTTGGTGACAACACTTCAGCTGGATTTAAGAAGGCTAGGGTTGGATGGAGACCACCAGGTAATCTTAGGGCTGTTGAGAAAGTTGGTCATCCCTTGGATTTCTCTTTTGCCATAGCTGCCCATGATCCTCAAGGAGATCTACCGACGTCTCCCGAAGATCTTGGACCCTGCCACCAAACAACAAACGCTAAAGGCAGTGTGTCACCTAGAAAGAGAAAGGGAGGGACGGGAGTGGGAGAGAGGGAGGGAGAGAAAGAGAGAGAGAGAGAGGGAGGGTGAGAAATTCTCTAAATGGAGTACTTCATTGAGTAATTCATTTATCGATAATTCAGATCATGATTTCTCTAGCTTGGTGATTTTCTTCTCCTTAACCAGCAGATATTGTCTGATCTCTCCATATTTATTCTTTTAGGAAGTTGTTCAGCTACTCTTTTATTTTATTTTTATTTTATATCAAATATATATACCGCCCTTCTCCCTAAGGACTCAGGGCAGTGTACAGCCAAAGTAAAAACATAAACTACAAACATTAAAATACAATTAAAAAGATATATATATTTGGCCCCATAATTAAAAGCAATGACAAAACAATTAAAAACAATTTTAAAAAAAGTGTTAGGCCAGCCCGGCTTGCTGAAAAAAGAAAGCTTTAAGGGCACGGCGGAAGGCACCAAGGTCTTGGATTCTCCTTATCTCTGGGGGCAGCTGGTTCCAGAGGGTAGGTGCCCCCACACAGAAGGCCTTCCCCCTGGGGGTCACCAGCCTACATTGTTTGGCTGATGGCACCCCGAGGAGGCCGTCTCTGTGGGAGCGCACAGGTCGATGGGAGGCCATCGGTAGCAGCAGGCAGTCTCGAAGATATCTAGGTCCTATGCCATGGAGCGCTTTAAAGGATATAACCAACTCTTTGAAGCGCACCCAGAAGACCACTGGGAGCCAGTGCAGCTCACGTAGGAGAGGTGTTGTATGGGAGCATCATGCAGCTCCCATAACTACCCGTGCAGCTGCATTCTGGACCAGTTGGAGCCTCTGGGTGCCCTTCAAGGAGAGCCCCATGTAGAGAGCGTTGCAGTAGTCCAGGTGAGAGGTGACGAGGGCGTGAGTGACTGTGCATAGGGAATCCCGATCAAGAAAGGGCCGCAACTGGTGGATCAGGCGGACCTGACAAAAAGTCCCCCTGGCTACAGCCGTCAGATGTTCCTCCAAGGACAATTGCGTAACCAGGAGGACTCCCAGATTGTGAGCACTCTCCGAGGGGGCCAAAGACTCGCCCCCAATAGTCAGGGATGGAGTCAACTGACTATATCGGGATGCCGGGAACCACAGCCACTCAGTCTTGAAGGGTTGAGCTTGAGCCTGTTTCTCCCATGAGCTGAAGGTGATATTCAGACAGGCCAATGAATACCTGCACCGTCCTGATCTACGAGAGAAGACCATTGGGATAGTTTTCTTCTTGGAGGTGAGGAGACCTTGGGATGCACCCCAACATTCTGGAGCTCAAGGATTCACCAGAACTTTATGGTTAGAAACTAGAAGTTGTGGGTGCTCCATCACTGGAGGACTTGAAGAATAGACTGGACAGCCATTTGCCTGACATTGTAGAGCAGGGGTCCTCAAACCTTTTAAACAGGGGGACAATTCACAGTCCCTCCGACTGTTGAGGGACCGGACTGGGTGGGTAGGTGTGGCTAGGTGGTCATGTGACTGGATGGACGTGGCCAATTTAACTGTCCATTTTTTTGCCTTTCTCCTTCCTAAGCTCCCATTTAAATTATTTTCAAAGACTTTTAACTTAAAGCAGTACTTTACAAGCCCAGAGCTGCTTTTCAAGGCTGCACCATCGAGATCACCCCTCAGCTGGCCTTACAGCTGCCTCACTGGAAGATAAGGCCCATAGTTAGGGGCTGGGCAAGGGGTGGGGCTTAATCACAGTACTCCGCAGGCCAGATACTTAGTTTGAGGATGCCTGTTGTAGAGGGTCTCCTAGTTGAGCGGGGGGTTGGACTAGAAGACCTCCAAGGTCTTCTGCTATTCTGTTAATTGGTGGAATGGCTTTCCTCCAGAAGTTGTTGGTGGGGAGGGAGGGGGGAGGGAGGGAGGGAGGAAAGAAGGAAGGGAGGGAAGGAGGGAGGGAGGGAGGAAGGAAGGAAGGAAGGAAGGAAGGAAGGAAGGAAGGAAGGAAGGCTCAATGACCACAATTCCTTTTCTTCTTTGCATTATAGGCAGTTTTGTATTCTTACAGCTAGCATTTACACTACCTTTTGCCATGTTATAGTCCTTGACATATGACAGTCATAGAACCTCCAGTGGTCACTAAGTGATTGCAGCAGTCCTTAAGCCAATGCCGTAGTCAAATATTTAGGATAAACCAGATCTTTCAGTAATTTCCTTCTAAAAGTTGTCCTCGACTTACGACCGCAACTGAGCCCCAAATTTCTGTTGCTAAGTGAAACAGATCTTAAGCACCTTTTGCCCCATTGTACCACCTTCCCTGTCACAGTTGTTCAGTGAATTGTTGCAGTTGTTAAGTAAGTCACACGGTTGTTAAGTGAATCTGGTTTCTCCCCTGACTTAGCCTATCAGCCTATCACAAAAGGGATCACGTAACCTCAAAACACTGCAACCGTCATAAATATGGAGCGGCAAGTACCCAAATTTTTATCACATGACCGTGAGGATGCTACAGTGGTCATAAGTCTGAAAAATGGACGTGTCCCTTTTGTCAGTGCTTGGTCACTAACCGAGGACTCTATTTTCTTTTTCTCTCCCCGTAATGGCTGAAAGTGGCATCTCTTAGCAGAGGCTCTCAGGGAAGTTCCCTTCCTTTGCTTTGCTAATTCTCTGTATCTCCACTCTTCTTCCTCAGCTTTTGTATCACCCAGAAGTTGGAAACTTCTTTAAGATGCTTCTAGATGTTCTCCGCGAATGGATGACTCAGCCGTATCCTCTCATTCAAATATTTATTGTTCGAGGACTGGGGTACCTTATGCAGCACCCCTTTGAGGTAAGAGATGGGGGGTAGGAAGTGAGTGGCTTCCAAGCAGTTGGGAAATCTAAAAATTGTCGCTACCGGTTATGAGGGTGTGGCTTGGTGGGTGTGGCCAACTTGATGTCACTCACTGTTAGAGCCAGCTGCTGCACATTCTGAAGCACATTTTGCCCTTCTGAAGCCCCCAACGCTTTGAGTTTCCCTCCGCCATCTGGCTTGACTGCCCAAGTGAACCTCGGAGCCTTCCCTTGCCCCCCCTCTCCATCCCGAAAGGCCGCACATTCTCCCCCCCCACCAATCCTCCATACAAACCACCTGCCCCGTTTCTGCAAAGGCAGAGGACCCCCCCGCAGGGTGATCCAAAGTGGGGAGGGGGGATACTGCAGAAAAGGCTGCCTTCCACCTGTGCCTTCCATGCTGGCTCACGGGGCTTGGGGCTCCGAAACAGCCCATTGGATTCCCACCCAGCCACCTGCTTGCTCTCTTTGCAGATCTTTCTCTTCGGCCTGGGTGGCAACGCTTACCCACGTGGACCAGTGTGCGCTGCATTTGGAAGGGCCTGGCATTTCCCTCAGCTGCAAACGCTGAGATTTGAGGTCTACAAATCGTGTTAAAGGGTGAGCTATTGAAGGTTGCGTGGAAGGGAAATGAACTGAACGTGAGACAAAGAGAGCATGGGGAAAAGACTTCCTTGGTGGCCAGTTCCATTCTAAACTTCCTGTAGAACTCCTGAGGCCAAAGGGCTTTAAACGGGGCCCAGGAACCCAAAATCTGGCTTTCTCAGAACTTGCACAGGACTCCCTGTCACCTGTCACATTTGCTTAGGGGGAGGGTTTGAATCCCAGAGCGACGGGGAAGCAAGCGCCTTTTAGTTCATCGCTAATGCCTCAGGGTTGGGGTGCACATTCACCTGAACCCTCCAAGCCTCCATCGGCATATGGAGCTGAAGCTAGGCGGGCCAGGGTGGGATGATGCAGTTAGCCGCGGCCAGGGCCAGCCCTGCGCTCTTTCCATCCCACGCTCAGTTCATTTCCCTTCCATCCAACCATCAATAGCTCACCCTTTAACACAATTTGTAGACCTCAAATCTCAGCGTTTGAAGCTGAGGGAAACGCCAGATCCTTCCTGGAACAACCCACTGCTCTCCCTCCCCACCTGGCTGCAGATCTTCACTTGCCCTCCCGAAGCACCACCGCCATTGTTTGCTTTCATTTCGCGGCAGGAGAAGGAAGAAAGTGAATGGCAGCAGTGCTCAGGGAGGGCAGGTAGAGGTCTGCAACCAGGCAAAGAGGGAAGGCGGTGAGAGAGATGGCGATGGCCCCTTCCACATGCAGCGAACAGAAGAGGCGGTGGGCAAGGCGACCCCAATGTGCCTGTTGTTGGGGAGACACAGCGATTGCTTGGCCAGGGTGGCCTCAGTGGGGCTGCATCGACCTCTCTACCCATGCCATGTCTGCCCATGCCATGCCATGTCCCACACCCACCAGCTGCACGACCACAAGTGCAGTGACCTGATCCTTACACTGGCCCTCCTGGGTAAGCATCGCCGCCTAGGCCAAAGAGAAAGCGCCACGGGCTCCATGATTGTGCCTGGACCTGGCCCACTCCTCACACATGGGACTGCTGCCCAGCTGGCAGCTTCTGCGCCTCTCGCTCTGCTTCTTCACCGCCGGGAAGCAACTCCATGGGCTGAGTTCCCGGAGTGGTGCCAGCAGTCAGCTGGGATGATCTGCAAAGAGAGCAGTCAGGTGGCCAGGAAGGAAGCCAGTGGGCTGCTTCGGAGCCCCAAGCCCCACAGAGCCAGCACGAGAGGCACGCAAGCGTGGGTGGAATGCAGCCTTTTCTGCAGCATCCCCTTCCTCTCTTTGGATCACCCTGAGGGGGGGCAGCTCTGCCTTTGCAGAAATGGGGCGGGTGCATATGCAGCAGCCCCGGGATGCCCGCTGCCCTTTCAAGAACCACCGCAGTGCCGCCGTTCGCTTTCTTCCTTCTCCCACCATGAAATGAAAGTGAATGGTGGCGGTGGTGCTTCGGGAGGGCACCACAAGTGCAGCACCATCCAGGACATCAGCTTGCCCTCCTGGAGCACCGCCACGGTGGCGCCGCCCCTCTCAGCCCCGGAGCAGCGGCTGCATCTCTACCAAGGGCCGCCCACCCACCCACTGGCCAGGCCAGGCTGGATGGCAAACTCGGAAGGCAAGTGGGCATGGGGACTGCCAGGAAGGCAGCGTGGAAGGTAGACAAGCATGGCAGGGCTGCGGCGAAGGGAGTAGGCTGTTAGCTCCCTTACCCACAGCCCTGCCATGCTTGCCTGCCCTCCCGTGGTCTTTCACTTGCCAGCCTTCGCAAGCTGGCCACAGGGATGCCAGGAAGGCCGCATGAAAGGCAGGCAAGCATGTCAGGGTTGCAGACCGCGCACTAGTTCAGGGACATTGCTAGCCAGCAATCACAATGGGTTTGCCAAACCAGCCCTAATCTACGCTACCGGTTCGCCTGAACCGGTCTGAAACAGTAGCATTTCACCCCTGCTTCCAACATAGTAGCAGGTGTGACCTCACTCTCTGGGAAGTCTGCAAGGCTGGAAAGGATAGAAGAAGGAGACGAAGAAGACAACCAGCAGAAAGAGGATGCATTCAGCTAAAGTGGTGTCTCTTCTACAAACATGGGTGCACCCCTGGAAGATCTGAAGGATCAAGTTGAGACTAGATCCTCTTGGAGAAGATCTGAAAACAGAACAAGAAGCTGGAATGGATGGAAATTAATCAAGGAGAGAACCAACCTAGACCTAAGGAGAAATTTCCTGACTGTAAGAACAATTAATCATTGGAACGACTTGCCTCCAGAAGTTGTGGGTTCTCCATCACTGGAGGTTTTCGAGAAGAGACTGAACAACCATTTATTTGAAATGGTATGGGGTCTCCTTCTTGAGCAGGACTAGAAGACCTCCAAGTTCCTTTTCAACCGTGTTATTCTATGTTCTGTGGGTTCTATGTGTTTGTCATGATCACTACTAGACTCAGAGATCTCCAGTGACCGTGTTTAATTGCTCGTTTCTTTCCCTGTTTCCTCCAGAAGAAGATCTTAGAGCCAGTTTTCATGCCTGTCATAAACTGTGCCTATCACCCAGAAAAGAGTATAGCTAAGGAAGCTCTCTGGACCCTTCAGACATCTTGATGTAGCAACCTATGGACGCAAGGCTGTCAATCTTATTCCTCTCCAATTGAAATATTTCCTGACGTAAGTCAACCAAATCACGACAAACTAGTTTCTCCCCTCTCTCTCCCTCCCTCCCTCCCTCCATCTCTCTCTCTTTCTCTCTCTCCCCCTCCTCCCTCCCTCCTTCCCTCTCTACCTCCCTCCATTTCTTTCTCTCTCCCCCTCCTCCCCTCTCCCTCTCTCCCTCGATCTCGATTTCTCTCCCTCCTCCCTGCCTCCTTCCCTCTCTCCCTCTCTCCCTCCCTTTCTCTCTCTCTCTCTCTCTCTCTCTCTCTTTCTCCCATAAAGATGGCCTGAGTACCATCTGCAGAATTCTAATTTTATCAAAAATCTTAGAAATTTTTAAATAGTTCAGCAACCACTGTGTTGTGCTCATCTAAAACAGTGTATAAACTTGCAGATGATCCTTGAGCCCTTCTAGAGAGCTGGAGAAGTGCCAGATGAAGTAGAAGAGAAGGAAGGTTGCCATTTTCTTCAGCTTCACCAAACCATTTGTCCACCTAGAAAATCTAGAACACCAGACACCCTATCTAAAAAAATGACAATTCTTCACATCTAGAAAATCTAGATTGGTGTTGCTTGATTTCAGACACTTTAAGCTGTATGGACTTCAACTCTGCTGGCCTGAGAACTCCAGAAGGAGCTGCTAAGATTGAACAACACTGGTGTAGATCAGTATTTTTCAACCTTGGCGACTTTAAGAGGTGAGGACTTCAACTCCCAGAACTCTCCAGCCAGCATACTGGAGTTGGAGTCCACAACTTTGGGGCAACCATGACCTGGATGATTGACCATCTCCATGGACATTGAACTGGGAATAAGTGTGCTCTGAACTTGTGTGTTCTCCTGAAAACTTAAAGAAACTTCTGCATGGCAGCCACCAACCACCCCAAGAACCCAACAGTTCAGCATTGAGCTACATCAATTTTCTGCTATTGAAGGGACTAACCTGTTTGTCTTCCTTTGTAGGATGACATCGAACTGAAGAATACCTCCATCACTATTTTTTGGCATGCTCCTGTAAGGGGTGAAGGAGATACATAACAGTAATGTGACCAAAAATATTCTGAACAGCCTTGTTCCACTAGTCATACAACTGGCAAATGGTCGGATGAAAGAGGTGAGTTGAAGGGCTGCAAAACTTGAGCTCCTGGTCTGTTCATGCTCCCTTCTCTATGAGCTCACTCTGTACCACCATCTTCACTCAGAGCAATGTGGTTGTACCACGTGGACCCCCTGGAGAATGCAAAGAGATTTGGACAATCCTGAAGTTGTGAGCTCCTTGGTGCTCCCTGAACTTGGTTGTTTTCTTGAAGATCTTTCATGAACCCAACTAGGTGACAGCATCAATACACTAGAGGGCAGGGTTTAATCTCTCCTTAATCCCCTATCATTTTGATGTAGGTGTAGGTTTTCTGCTTTGTCCTTCTTTGATTAGGTATTGTTTTCTGCTTTATGGTTTGCCTAGTACCAATAGAAGAGAATCAGGGTTGAATTGTGGGGTACTTGGTGCTCTCTGCTTGGTTGTTTTCTTGCAGACGTTTCATGACCCAACTACGTAACATCATCAGTGCTGGAAGGAAGTGGTTTCTCTGTTTTTATATATGTGGCTTGTCATTTCAGTGTGGGTGGGAGTGATGTTTTCTTCCTTTTATTTCCCTTATTAGGCAATTATGAATAAACAGGGTCATGTGATCCCCTTTTGTGACCTTCTGACAAGCAAAGTCCATGGGGAAGCCCGATTCACTTAACAACTCTGCTACTAACTTAACCCCTGCAGAGATTCCCTTAACAACTGCGACAAGAATGGTCGTAAAATTTATTTACTTTATTTTATTAAATTTTTATACCGCCCTTCTCCTGCTGGACTCAGGGCGGGGCACAGCCTAGAATAAAAAACATCCCAATACAAAATTTGAAATTTTAAAAGAATTAAACAAATTTTGGGCCAAAATTAAAAACCTCCCGACTAAAATCCATTTACAATTAAAAATATCTAAGGGGGGCGGGGTGTTACGCCAGCCCAGCTTGATGAAATAGAAAAGTTTTGAGGGCACGGCGAAAAGCACGGAGATCTGGTATCCTACGTATCTCCGGGGGCAGGTCGTTCCATTTCCCCCCAAATGGGGAAAAACTCACTTAACAACGGTCTGGCTTAGCAATAGACATTTTAGGCTCAGTTGTGGTCGTAAGTGAAGGACTACCTGTAGAGAGATTTGGCACCTGGTTAGCTTGTCCATCATCCTGTTGGAGATCTTGAGAGAGGTCTCCTTTCAGGACGGAGACGCTGTGGTCATCAGATTAATAGATTAACAGAGTTGGAAGGGAGCTTGTAGGTCATCTAGTCCAACCCCCCCGCCCAAGCAGGAGACCCTACTACACCATCTCTGACAGATGGCAGTCCAGCCTCTTCTTGAAAGCCTCCAGTGATGAAGCTCCTAGAACTTCTGGAGACAACTTCTGTTCCATGGGTTGATTGTTCCCACTGTCAGGAAATTCCTCCTTATTTCCAGGTTGAATCTCTCCTTGAAAAAGTGCAGAGGAGAGCAACCAGGTTGATTAGGGGATTGAAGACTAAAACAGATGAAGAACGGTTACAGGAACTGGGCATGGCTAGTCTAGTGAAGAGAAGGACCAGGAAGCCTTCTTCCTTGCTATGGTTTCCACTTCCTGTCTCCTTCACTAAAAGGACTGTTATAAGTCGAGGACTACCTGGCCTGTATCCCTCTCTATTGTGTAGGCAACCCCACAGCAGTGGTTTTCTGTCTGGAAATATTTCCATGCGGCCTCCCATTCTAGTATTAACTGAATTCAATGCTGCTTAGGTTTTTTTCCAAGGTGATGTTTTTTTTTTTTTTTTTTTTAATTTGATTTATATGCCGCCCTTCTCCGAAGACTCAGGGCGGCTTACAATGTGCTCAGCAATAGCCTTCATCCTTTTGTATATTTATACCAAGTCAGCTTATTGCCCCCACAAACTGGGTCCTCATTTCACCTACCTTAGAAAGGATGGAAGGCTGAGTCAACCTTGAGCCTTGGCGAGATTCGAACCCTGCAGTAATTGCAGGCAGCTGGTCTTAATAACCAGCTTAATAGCAGGGTGCCTTAACTGTTTGCACTGTTTGCACAGTCATAGAACATAATAGAGTTGGAAGGGACCTTAGAGGTCTTCTAGTCCAACTCCCTGCTAAAGCAGGTGACCCTATTCCATTTCAGACAAGTGGCTGTCCAATCTCTTCTTAAAAGCCTCCAGTGAGGCCTGGAGACAAAAACACATGAAGAACAGTTACATCTAGTCCTTCTTTTCATTAGACCTCCAGACATACCCAATTCCTGTAACCATCCTGTAAAGTCCCAAAGCGACTGTTCCAAGTGGAAACCAATGAATTGCGTGTTTTTTTCTTGAATCAGTCGATTTAGCCATCTCTACTAACTGCATCAATGTTTTCTTTTTATGTGCCTAGGCTGCTGCACGCAATACATGAAACTGGATGTGGTGACTTCCAAACAAATCGAAGAAGTTTTCCTCTGTGAGTTTCAAAGTTCCCTCGCTTGAAGCAAGGAATTTTTCTCTAGAAGCTCTGTCGCTGATCAGGGCTGGTTCTCATGGTTGATCCCGGAAATCATTTGTTTTCTGGATTCGTTTCAGGTCCGGGATCTGCAAGCTGATTGCGAAGCCTTGGTGGTTTAGGCTGCAGCTGATTCAATGGAAGAAATCTTTCGGCAGTGTGGCCATCAGATCAAGCCGGGTCTTATTAGTAGTCAACTCCTCTCCAAAGTCAACAGGAGGATCTCCGAGACCAAGCAATAATAGTTTAATAATTTAGTAGTTTACTTTATTGTGATGGCACCTCGTACAATGAAATTAAGTGCCATCTTCACTGTATATTATACTTTTAAAAAATCCTATATAAATAAAACAAAAACATACCTCCCTCACATTGTATGCAATTGAATTGAAAACCCTGATATTGCGTTAATATTGCACAATACAGAAGAATTCAATATAGTTACTGCTCTGGGATAGAAGCTGCTTTTCAGCCTATTTGTCCTTGTTTTTATTGTCCTGTACCATCTGCCAGATGGTAATAGTTCAAAAAAAGGGGGGGGGGGCAGGATGAAATGGATCCTTAAGGATGTTTTGAGCTTTCTTAAGGCAGCGGGAGCTATAAAGCTCTCCCAAAGAGGGGAGGGAGCAACCAATGATCCTCTGGGTACCTGCCTTCCAGCTGGTATTTGGGGAAAGAGAGGAAGCATGGAGAGAATTCTTACATTGTGAAGGACCACGAAGGAACATCGTGGAAACAGGACCTGGCAGGGAGATTGTGGAAACAGGCCCTGGAGAAAGACAGGACAATTTAATTTCAGAGAGAGAAGGTTCCATGAGGTCACAGAGCCACAGGTGCCAATGGAGAAGAGTGGTAGCAACCATCAACCATCGACGATGTCTGGAACATCTCCACTCTTGGTCGTCTTCCAGCAGAAATAGGAACGCGTAGAGTAGGGCAGATGCAGAGAACTGCACACTCCCCTGGGGGAAGATCTAATGTCTTCCAAAAAGATGCTCATTATTATCCACATAGATGGAGCATCGAATAAAAGCCTTCATGAAAACCTCTGGATCCCAAACGCGTCTTCTCATGGTCCCTGATCGTGTTTGGAAAGCATGTGACATTTGTCAACTTAGTTTGTTAAGCCAGAAGGTGGCCGAGCACTGGTCCCCTCCTAATATCTGTTACAGGCAGTCCTTTCAACTTTCAGCCGTGAATGAGGCCGGCCTTACAGGTTGTAAGTTGCACCCGTCATAAACCAGGTAACACTGGGTCCATCCCTGATTTAATGACCTTTGAATGGATTAAGGGAGTTGTTTCAGCTTCAGCACAGCCTAATTAGCACAAGTTGATTGGATCGGCCTCCTGACTCTCAGATGATTTGCTCTCAGCTGTTTTGCGCAGGGCTCTGCTGCTTGCTGCAAAGAGGTAAATTGCTGGAGCAGATTTTTGTCCCCTTGTGCTAATCAAGCTATGCTGAAAACGAAAATGAAAGTAAAGCAGGCTGTTTGCTGTAACAAGGCAAAATTGCTCAGAGGCAGAGGGAGGTTTCTTTTTCTTCTTTTCCTCACCAAAAAAGGTAGGTGCATCTTATACTCCAGTGCATCTTATACTCTGAAAAATACGGTAGTTCTCAATTTATAACTGTTCATTTCGTGTTCGTTCGAAGCTACAATAGCACTGTAGAAAATGATTTACAGTTATTTTTCACACTGATGACCATTGCAGCATGGTTGATTTCCAACAACCTAAGCTGGTCCTTGACTTACGATTGAGCCCAAAATTTCTGTTGCTAAGTGAGACATTTTTAAGTGAGTTTTGTCCCATTTTACGAACCACTCTTGCCACCATTAAGTGAATCACTGCAGTTGTTAAATTAATCACACCGTTGTTAAATGAATCTGGCTTCCCCATTGACTTGGCTTTTCAGAAAGTCACAAAAGTTGATTGCATGATCCAGGGACACTGCAACCGTCGTAAATGTGAATCAGTGGCCAAGCATCTGAATTTTGATTGCATGACCCAGGGAAATGCTGTGGAAAATGGTCCTAAGTCACTTTTTTCAGTGCAGTTGTAACTTTGAACGGTCACTAAATGAGCTGTTTTAAGTCAAGGAGTACCTTTCTTCAAAGCGGCCTTGGTTTCCTTTCTTTTTGTTCTCCACTTTCTGCCAAATCTTTCCAAATTCTTCCAGAAGATGGTGGCATAATCTTACAAGTCTTCCCTCAGCCAAGTTCTGTAAAAAAATAATAATCAGAATTTGATTTTGCAATTTTGGAATTTCCCAATATATATGGTATACCTTGTTTGGACTTTCTGAACATGTCCCAGCCAGTTTCTCAGCATGGACAGAGGAGGGCAGAGAACAGCAACAAAGATGATTAGGGGACTGGAGGCTAAAACATAACGAAGGACAGTTGCTGGAATTGGGTGTATCTAGTTTAATGAAAAGAAGGATTGGGGGGGAACATGATAGCAGTGTTCTAATATTTGAGGGGCTGTCACAAAGAAGAGGGGGTCAACTTATTCTCCAAAGAACTTAAAAGCAAGACAAGAAGCAATAGACGGAAACTGATCAAGGAGAGAAGCAACCTAAAATTAAGGACAAAATCCCTAACAATGAAAACAATTAACCAGTGGAACAACTTGCCAACAGAATTTGTGAGTGCTCTATCACTGGAGGTTTTCAGGAAGCGATTGTACAGCCATTTGTGTGGGATAGTATAGTGTTTCCTGCCTGAGCAGGAGGTTGGACTAGAACCGTGACGGCGAACCTATGGCATGCCTGCCCAAAGTGGCACACGAAACCATGTCACCCATCACTTACGGCCTTGCCTGTTTGTCTTCCAGGTCTCTGGCACGCATGCACACACAATGATCAGGTGTCCTTTGCGTGCGCAGCAGTGCTGAAAACTGGTCTGCGCATGCACGCCAGCCAGCTGATTGTTGGGTGTGCATGCGCACCAGACCCGGCAGTTCAGCTTTTCCAGAGTGTGATCCCTTCATGCACGGAGCAGTGTGGAAAAACCAGATTGTGCATGCATGCCAGCCAGCTGATTGTTGGGTGTGCATGTGCACCAGAACCCAGAAGTTCAGCTTTTCCAGAGCGTGATCCTTTCACGCACGTGGCAGTGCGGAAAAACCAGATTGCGCATGCGTGCCGGCCCTCTGATCATTGGGCGCACATGCGTGGTAGAACCCGGAAGTTTGGCTTTTCTGGAGCGTGGCCCCAATGAGCACGTGCGTGTGCGTGCAACATTTCCACGTGACCTTTTTGGCACTCGGTGCCAGAAAGGTTCGCCATCACTGGACTAGAAGATCTCCAAGGCCCCTTCCAACTCTGTTGCTCTGTTATTTAAATAGCTGCCCAGTCTCCTCTTCAAAACCTCCAGTGATGGAGCACCCACAACTGCTGGAGGCAAGCAGATCTAGAAATGGTCCCAATCCGCTGAACATTATTCATTGATTAGTTATCCCGCCTTTAAAAGCAGTCCTCAGAACATCAGAAACTCTGTAGTTACTTCTGGGTCCACCTCTCAGCTGTGCAGTGGCGATAGAGTTGGAGCTGCTGTAATAGCTCCCTCAGTGGCATCGGTCCTATCCAAGGCATCCACATTCTGGCTGCTATTGCGGAAATGGCAAGCAAGGTGGAATCGGCAACGGCACTCACTCTGGACATGACACCTGGTAAACAGGGGTTCCCTCCCTCTGCCCACCTGAATGACAACCGCGATGTTTTGAGGTTGACAGTGGGTAGATTCTTAAATATGATAGCTGCTACATATTTATTCTGTTGCTATTATTTAAAGTGTCACTTTTTTCATCCTAGAATACTATGCTTTATTACTAATATAATTCTACATTTTTAAGTGTCTTTCGAAGTCTATAATTGGAGAGGTATGAGATTGGTTAAATAAGCAAATAAATGCCCCTAATCACTTTCATACATCTTAGCGTTGATGTACAAAAAATAATTACAGCCATTTATTCAATCGTAACTATGAACGCAACAAGATTTCAAAGCCAACTCTCTGGCTCACTCAGCTGAAAGGAACATCCTTGGCCTTCAGGCATTTTTGCATTATATGAGTGTGTGTGCGTCTGTGTGTGTTATGCATATCAAAAAAAAAAAAGGAAGACATCATTTGCTCTAGATTCTGCTTTCAAATTTACTGCTCAACAGCCAAGATAGAACCAACGTTAAAATACTGAAATAATTAGATCTGTATAACATTAGTTTTATATTGCCCTCATTTCCTGCTAATGTTTGATTTCTGGAAAACAAGCTATTGGGACTTTGTTTTAAGCCAGATATTTTCTTTTTATAACAAATTTGAGACTGAAAGCCATTCCAGACCTATGTATTTCTCCTGTAAATACTTCATGATTAATTACTCATGGTGAATTTAGGTCCACTGCTTTCATACTACTGCCTAATTTTTGTGATTTAGAACATTTTACAATGTCATCTGCATTTCATATACTGGTTAAAGTCTTTTAAAAACTATGCGCTTAGGCAATTCTATTTGCAATAGTTAGCAACAAGATATCTACAGACTGTCATACATTTAGCTACTGAATATTTGAATCTTTAATTTCATCATCCATGTCACCTGTTTTGCAGCTGAAATGGATTCAATGTTTGCCTTGCAACATACAAAGTCAGCCATTAACAACAGGATGTTAGTAATTTACTAAACTCCTGCTGTTATGGTTGACTTTTAATGGTATCTGAATTTATTTTCTGTTCAACTAAGGAAAAACAATTCTACATATACATAGCTTTTGTAAGAAATAAAACTTTGAACATAGAAATAAAAATTAATAATTTAAATTAATTCAATACAGAGCATACTTACCCCTAGTTTTTAATATTTTCCAATACTAAAAAATACCTGATTATATATGTATACACATAAATACACATAAGAAATAATTTTAGCTACAATTCTAACATGCACAGACAACTTATACTTCACAAATCAATTGGAAGAACAGTATAGTTTGTATTTAAGGTATAAAAAGGAAAATAAGTCATGCTTCACCCAAAGATAAAAAGCATATTATTTATTGACATTAATATACCAGAGTACAAAATATTAGAAATGCATATTGCATAGTGATGATTTGCATGTGGTAAAATGTGGTTAACGGTAGCATTTCTTCTCATTTTATTACTTGTGCAAATGCAGCATTAAAGAAATAACTGTATTTACAGAAAAAAAAAATAAATTAAAAAATAAGAAATAATTTTAAAGCTCCAGGTTCTAGTTGACCAGTCACCCTTTTGAAATTATTTTCTTTTTCTCTTCTAGAACCATTTGTAAACTTAGATACAACACAATTCACATTAAGTACTTAGCTGCTCAATTAAATCTTCCACA